ATGCTTCCTCATAGTCAGCAATAATATAACTCTAAGGCATGAAATGAAAACTATTGCACTTTATTTTTTTTTTTTTTTTGAGATATGCATTTTCCATGTGATGAGGTTCATGTTTTCAATAAAACTGAACTATAGGATTCAGAAATTTCTGTATTTAAATTTTAGTGGACATAATTATGTCTATCCATCTGGGTAGCCAAGGCCCTTAGATTTCTATAGTATCAGGATTTTTTTTTCTTTGTTGCTGGTTTGTTGCTACTGTTAGGATAAGGAAGGTTACCATTCAAAGCACTATCTATAGGATGCTATTCATGGCAGAGGGATGGTCTGAATGCCCTATGGATCTAAATTTGCAGAGGTGCAACTCTTAGAAATACAGTTACTCCTTATTTAACTGTTTATCAATACATTATTCTCAATACAATTTGATACAATCTCTGGTTTTCTTCTGTAACCTGCTTCTCATCCAGCTGCTTGCATTTAAAAAGTCCAAACTCTAAGAGTGCTAAACTCTAGTCCAAAGAGAAGTAATAAGAATAATTGGTAACATATTAATTCAGTTTAAATTTATAGTATTTTTACTGGTTCGGTTTCTGTATATACAAAAAAAACCTGAAGAGGTCTTCCTGACACTAAGCCATGTTCTTCCTACCTGTTAGTAAATGAAATGTAGAAATATTTTATGTTTTTTTTATTTATTTATTTTTATTTATTTTCAAATATTCTGCTCTATCTATGATGAAATAGACTTGTGGTAGTTTTAGTGGAAAATTTTAAAGTGTAAACAACTTCTAAAAAATGAACTTTGCAATTATGATTTATTATTAAATTAAATGGTTTATTTGTCATGTATACACATCTTTACTTAGAGGCCCCTTGACACTTTGTAACCTAAAGGACCTATAATTAACTCTACTTTGAATCTATTTCTGTTAACAAGATGCTTCTCTAATATATATATATAACCATACATACATGTGCATATATATATATACACACACCATACATACATATATATACACAAATATGAATCAGATCCTGTATCTGTGCTTTCAAGTTAACTAAGACATTACTTGCCAGTAATGTTAATCAGCAGTTAATCACCGGTTGTGATAGTATTCAGAGGCTCAGAGACTCATTCTCTCAGACAGACTTACCTCCTTTTACATGTATATTTTTCATAAAAAATCATCCACCAGACTAAGTTCACAAATTATAATTAGCAGACAGGAAAGTGGTGAGATCCAATACCTAATACACATTAAGAACTCATATAGTTCCTTCACATCTAATTCATTTTCATTAAGAAATTCAGATAATAGAGCTATAGTAATAAAAAGATATTTTAATCCATCAGAAATCACAACACAAATGTTCAGCTTTGGCTTCACTGCTACTAGAGTGTCTGGAAAATAGAAGGTGACTCAGTTCACTAGTGATGCTCGGAGCACCATTAAGCTGACGTGAGGCACCAGGCATACCATGCTTTGAAGGTGTGACTCACTGGAAGAGGAGAACTAAAGAACACTGAGCATGGAAGAGCTACAACAAGCACAGAGCTATAAATATTTATATATATCTCGGGCAGGCCTTGGGAAAGAAAGAGGAAAGAAGACACTTTTAGGGAGCAGCTCAGCTGCCTTTAAAGGAGATATCCAAAATAAGTCAATTTGCAGGTACTCATTTGCACTGCCTATAAAGGGACTCTAGTCTTGACAAGTTAGAGATACCAAACTTCTGTATGTCTAAAGCTGGTAAGAAAAGTGCCATCCAAGAAGTCTGTTGTTACATGAAAATTTGCCACCTCCTGCCCTGTACTTTGTCTGGAAAGGGATTCTCAGCATGCTGTAACACACCTGGCTTATCCTGAAGAGCAGGTGGGCCACAGACATACATTGAGTATTTTTTCAATGCAGTTTCTGAAAAAAATTCATGTGGAGCAACGTTTTGACCAGACTGAACACTTTATTCAGGTACTGCTGCACCTTTCAATTCCACCATTCTCAGTCTCCTATTTCTTGCATTTTCTCCCACATTTATTTCTCAAGGTCATTTCTTATAATAGTCAAAAAATACTTTTTCAACTAAATGGAAAAACTTCGCTTTTGCATTTTTATTTACTTTTCTTTACCAAATCCCTTTTCATCTTTTTTTCCCTTATCTTTTGCCATTATCACTTCCTGCTAAAATTTTGTTTTGCTTTCTGTAATTTTCTCTTTCCTCAGTTAGATTCTTCCTAAAGACACTTCTTCCAAGAGACTTCATAGCTTAAACCCTCCCTTCTTAGGTGTCTATTTAGTTTTAATACTGACACTGTGCAGTGATGCTGTACCTTCAAGTCCCCTATTTTACCACACAGGTGACCAGTTCTTGCTGAGATTGCTGGCTGTGCCATTTGGCTGATGTGAGGAGCTCAATTTTACTCTAGATATTCAGTGACTTAAGCTGTGAGAGCAGCACATACAGAAGGATTTTTCAGTAGGAAAGACTGCACAGGCTGCACTTCAAATATCCCTGGGAAGAAATCAGAAGCATGATAGCATCCAAAAGGGCTTTTAATCATTCTAAGAGCAGCATGAAAAGCATCTGCAATATATTTTTCTTCTTAGCCTTACTGCAGCATGCTTTACTAGGGTTGAATATGCCTCATGAAAGCACCTATGCACACTTTTTTGCTTACACCATGAAATTTGTTGCTATGGAAATACTGAAAACAGGCTATGACTAAGAATGGGTGAACCCTTTCAGGCAAAATAGTATCCAGCTACAATTTCCATTCAGCAGCTGAAGTGATTTGCAGCCATTTCCATGCTTAATATTTCTTCTGTATTCCTGAAGTCTTTTAGCAACCTATATCCAACTTGCATAGGACCCAGCTTACCCAATTCAGTTTGGGCACAGCAGTTCCAGTAGCTTCCCTGATAAAACAGATTAAACTAAATTGGATTAAATTGCCCTTACTCTTCTTTGCCTTCTGCTCTTGCTTTCCTAATATTTCTTGGCACACAGAAATTTTCAGATTAGTTGCACCACTGGCTGCACTACCTTCCTTCCTTCTAAGCTCCCAATGATTTATTGCTTCTGACATGTGCAGTGTACTCTGGAGATTAACTGAATGGAAGCCTTCAGATCGGGGGGAATATAAAAAGAGCAACAATAACTTCCAGCAGTATCTTGGGTCCTGCTGTCTGAGCAGCTTCTGGAGAAGAGCAGCAGACCTCAGGCAAGCAAGTGTGGCAGTGCACGTGACTTGGGCTTGCTGCACGCTCCCCATGCAGGCACATTTAATGCTGTCAATATCACATTGTCCTTGATTATCAAGGATTTCATCACATCATTATAGATTTTCTGAAATTAGTTCCTCATAGCCACAGGAGAGAGACATATTTTTCAAAAAGCTCTGCCTCCATTAAAGATATCAGACTTCCTAATGAGACAAGTAAAGCTCACAATTAAAAATAAGTGTAAGACTTATAAATAACTGCAATGTCTCATGGATGGTAGCTTGAAACTAACACCCAGAATTCTCTCTTCAATGAATACACTACCAAAAGATTATACCAGAAGCAGGTCATGAGATCTACGCATTTATCCTCTCTCCTTCCTTCTCACTTCCCCTTGCTATTCCCCTTACTTAATTACCAAAACATTAAGGATGGTTGCAATACATTCTTAACCAAAGTTACTTTTCAGTGAATAGAGCCAGTTTGTAAGATTCATCCTTTTGCTCCTTGATGAGTCCTAAACACAAATGCTTAGATTACATATCAAGTTCCTTGGAGAATAAAGGATAGATCTTTTAGAGAAAAATACTTACAAGGACAGATGAAAAAAAATAAGGCTTCACATCGAAGCCTAATAAAGTAATTATTGAATATGGCAAAGTCACGCTTCCCTTCAAAAAAGCTAAATTATTGTTTGCTGCTTGAGTTACAATTCTATCATGTAACTAAAAGACAAGAGTTTAAAAACAATCAGTAAAAATCAAACCGTATGTCATGTAGAGAAGAAATCACATTAAAAAATCTGGAAATTATAAGTTTTATGTTTAAATGATGAATTATCTGCTTACTAAGTGTCTCTCCATGTTCACCGCAAGACAAAGCAAATGCTTTTTTACTCTACCAGCATGCCATTGAGAATGTAATTTCCTGGAAAACTACACCATGTAAGAACATATTGATTAACCGGGATTAACAAACATGATCTAAAATGAAATGTATTCCCATAAAGATGTCCAAGACTAAGTTGCCACATACTATTTCCAAGAATACCAATACTAACCAAAAGCATTAAAGAGTAAGGTTTTTAAAAGTGATCATGTAAATCAGGATCCCACATGTTCTAGACATCCCTGCTGGAGCAGGGGGTTGGACTAGATGATCTCTAGAGGTCCCGTCCAACCTCAACCATTCTGTGATCCCAGTCCTGACTTCAAGCTAGTATTTCTTTAGAAATAGTAATGTCTTTTACAAGTATTTGTTTTAACTTCCTAAATATTGGAGAAACAGAAACAGAATCACAAAAGCTAGCTTTGAAAAATGCCTAAAGTTTTGTAATGCCAACGGTTTGCTGCTGCATAGCTATAAATATTTACCTCCCAAATAAAAGATCAATCTTCAAGCCAGTTCTTTCTAGTATTTTTCATTGCAGAAAGTTGCTAATGAAGATAATTATCACACTACACACACACACATATACATATGAAGAAAATGGAGGACAAGGACTATTATATCAAAAAAGGGGGAGGGGAGAATAAACTTGGAATAATAACAGGAATAACATGGTAGAGATCAAAAGACAAAGATGATATATCTCCAAGACTTTACAACTACACAACTCAAATTCTCTTTAAAGAGATAGATATAAGGATATGAAAAAATATTAGATGATTATTTTAAAATTCAATTCTCACTGAGGCTAAAATTTTCATAAATACTAAGTTTAGAAACCCATGATGCTTTCACAGGTGAATTTGTGATCGTGCTCATCTCTCTTACCTGTTATAGTTGCTTTGTTGATAGATGGTTGGTTACACATTGGTGACCGTCTGATAAGGAAAAGAAAAAAAAGTATAAGCCTCAATCTTGTAGATCATTGAATCCTTGAACAATCTAAGAGAAAAGGCTTTTCCTTATGAAGTTATTTAGGACTGGAACACACTGTCACAGACATGAAAACTACTTCAAATATTTGTTCTAGAACAAATACTTCTTTATAGACTAAGTATTTCTCTCTAGTAGAGAAGGAAATTCACAGCTGACCCTCAAATCTCTCTACAAGCTGGGGACTCCAGCAGAGAATATTAAGAATTGACAAGTTCATTAAAAGCTTAATCATACCTAACAGTTGAAGCTAGCTTGAAGTTTAATCCATATCCATATTTATCATTATACTAACATTTATCATCTCCATTATAAATTATAATTTATTTTTCTTTTTATTATTTGAATAATAATTTGCAATAATCTCAGCATACAGTTTTGCTCATTTAAGAAAGCTGGAATTCTGTGGACTGACAAAGTGACACAGGGATGGATGTGTGGAGGCTGCAGGCAGAGGTATATTCCCTGCTGGAACAGGAGATTGGACTAGATGATCTCTAGAGGTCCCTTCCAACCTTAACTATTCTATACATGTGTGTCATACATGAGGTCTGTATATTCCATCCAAGGAGACTGGAAACATCTTTCTGTGGCACTGCATATATACGAGTAGGCAGCTGTCATATGTGCTTATCTCTTCAGCAAGAAAGTGCTGTGAAATGAAGCCTCCACAAATACTAACTACCTTTAATTTTTAGGGATGCACATTTTGGGTGAGGTAAATTACTCCATTACAAAAGCTGCCAGTTTAATTAGCATTAAGTAGTGCTAAAAGAGCCTTTAACTAATTCCTTTCAAAAGGACAGAATGATCTTTGGCAGCAGATATTTCTGTATAATGCTGTGATTTTATGACATACACAAAAAGATTAAACATACCTGTCCACTACCTTAATTTAAATTCTTAAAATTTATAGTTATTTTAATATAAAATACAATAAGATAATAAGTATATAAGAAATATACTTAAATACATAGGAATACATAGGAAATGCATCATTTCCTATAAAACTGTGATTACAACAAACTTATACTTCATGTAGAATTTACTCCAATTCCTTAGCAAATCTCTGTAAAAGTTTTCTTAAACCTTAAAGACTTACCATTCTATCTTGTATGGAAAAAACCAAAATTATTATGTTAAAAATTGATACTATGATGCTGTAACATGACTGGAAAAAGAGCATATTTCTTATGTCTTATCTATAATTATGTATTGCTGTGGATATGTAGGCTGCCACATATCTTGGATGAATTGAGGTTCACATCATGGGGATAGCTCGCAATGAGTGCAAATGTCCACTCAAGTTCATCTATAGGACTCAGTCTCTTTGCCTAAATGGTTGTCTTTCAATGACCTTTGATGCATGACTAGTTTATTGAAAATCATAGAAAATCCACAAAAAAACCCACTCCAAGTTTATGCACGGGAAGAAATACAGGAGCAATTAGTAGGTGGTGGAGTTCTCGTCTCAGCTGTCAAGTACAATGGTTTCAAAGGATTAATAAAATCTAGTTATCACATGATTTATGCAGGTTTAGTGGCACAGACTGACACTTGCAACATCTAATCTCATAGTTCTTAGTTTTAAAATTTAGAAAGTACTACTGCAAAGAATTTAGCCTCAAAAAATTGACACTCACTTGCTGGGTGCCCGATCCTGTAAATTGGTTAATGCAGCAAAGTTATTCCGTACAGTACGCAGGCTGGCCAGCACCTGGAAAGGACAAAACAGTCACAGGCTGAATCTCTGCATAGGTAAGAGTGATTTTTTCCCCACTCCACTGGGCTGCCAGGAGAAGGAAGGAACATTGCAGGGCAGCTGTAAAAGGTTTCCAAGATTGGCTTAACATCTGTGGCCTTTGACAATTATTTAACAAGAGCATGTCTGTAATACAAGGGCAATTGGTTCTTTTTTCTTTTTCCCTCATAAACAACTCACTGTTTGTTTAAAGAGCCTTACTTGAAAAGGAGGAAAGTTTTTCACAGAATACTGCTTGGCTCTCTAAAATGCATTCATATTTGGAAGAGAATAGCCCATTCAGGCCCATTGCTTCACACAGAAGAAACTATCAGAGAATTTTCCATTCGCAGCCCAGCCCACACAAACCTCAAAGGGCAACTGGAATGAGACTGTCTGGCCTGGCAGGGAAAATAAAAGTGGTTCCTCTAAGGGGCTGCAGTCCTTTGGGCGCTTTGGACAGAAGGCCAGAGGAAGATATCACACCTGAGCTGATGGGAAGTGCTTGAGAGCTCCTGCAAGCTCTGCCCATTACAAAGGTGATACCAGCAAAGTGCTTCCTACCTGCGCCTCCTCCTACACAAGGCTGCAGGTAGAGGAGCACCCTCTTGTTATAAGGAACATCCTCCACTGATAGAGGCTGTATAAATACATCAATTTTTGTATCACATAAGGATAATATGATACATCTGTGTGACTGGAGAGCAGCACTTTCAGCTGTGTTAGAGGGAACCGTTAATTATTTAGAACTTGACTGGGGATGAGAGGAAACAGCAAAACTAATTGCTAATCTGTTCCTATGGTAGTTGCTCATAGATGTTGCTCAGCCTGGACTGGTTCCTTAGTGAACCCACACAAGGAATTTACAGACTAGCAAAGCTGGGAATGGGATTTGGGGCTCCTGAGGTCTGCGGCAAGGAGGATGCAATCCTTTTCCCACAGCCCCTTACACTTATTTGTGAGGGGATCAGGAGGCTGCAGACAAATGAAGACTTGAAAAAAGCTTGTAACAGATAGAAAATATTCAGGATATAATCAGGACTAGCAGTGTCCAAATTACTTTGGGCAATTCCCAGATGGGTTAAGATAGAGTGTGTTGCTTAATGAGGGAATACTCATTTCATTATGTTTTTCTTTACAAATATCAGGATAAGGAGGCAAACTCATGTATTTTATATTCAACACTGAATAAAAATAATTACATATGTTATCAAAGTTGCATTCCCAGGATACTGTGACAATAACATATACTGCAACTAGATGATGGATATCAAGTTATATGAGGGCATCTATACGTGAAATAAAATATTCAACCTTTCTGATGTTAAAAAACCAAGTTTGGTGCTTTTCAAATCATTCAGACTATATTAATCTGAAAATTAAAATTCTAAGAATTACAACACCTGGTTTATAGTATAGGGAAGTGCAACTAATAATATCTTTGTGACAGGTTTTTACTTAGTTTACTGAGTCCTATTTCTGAGAAAGATAGCAAGCTATCTTGTCTGTTTGGGGCCAGATGCTGTATGGGGGATACAGCATCCCACGCTGCCTCTAGCAACACAGGATGCAACTGGGCTTTGGTATAATACCGAACAGCAACTGAAATGCTAAAAAATGAACTACTACCGCCAGGTGGCTCACAATCAAATGGAACAAGCCTCCTGCATGACTGAAGAAAATAAAGGGTGTTATGAAAGAAATAGAATGTGGTCCACATGCCATGAGCTAGTATCACTGGGAAGTCCCAAATTGGTTAAGCTGTGCCTTAGCTTGCTTGCAAAAGAAAAATGAACCTACAGGAGGAATTACCACTCTTATTAAGAAGACATTAAATAGCTGGTTTATGAGATGTACATGTGGGTCCAGTTTTGGAGTTCCTCTGCTAAGGCAACTGAGGAATGGGCCTCATGCTTATCTAGAGCTGTAGCTGATGAACAGGCTACGAAAGGAGAGGGGCTTTTGCTTATCCTAATAATTCTTAGAGAAGGGCTGATTTTTCCTAAGAATATAATCAGATGTCATTTCCCTAATCTCTCAACTGCATTTCAGTTGATATTTTGTAAAACCCAGCAGCTGAACGGAAAAATCAAATTAATAGATTTAGATGTGTGAAGGAGCTTAAGCACTCTCTATAAAACATATTATTAAAATTATCTTGAATTGAACAGATAAAAGATTTCCAGAAGGAGAATCCATGATCATAAAGAGCAACAGAAAACACAGATTTGTTTTCATCAGTACATAGTAGTACTGTGCCTCCTGCTGTATTGGAAAGGAGACTAGTCTCAAGATGCTGTTGCTTTTGCAACTTTTAAGATAATCAAGAAGGAATAATGACAGTAGAGGTAAAGGTAAAAGAGTGGGAAGACTAGTACTTTTTGTATAGACTTTTTTGTCCTGTTTATAGCATGCATGTATATTAACAACAGTAGAAAACAATTGATTTGACCTTTGGGGCCTTTAAATCGAAGACCATGAGAGAAATATGGCAAAATTGTGCCTACCTGAGCAAATGGAGTCACAATCAAGTCATCTCCATGTCTGAAAAAAAGGAGGAACACTGTTAAGTTAGATATGACTGAAAACTTTTATCACTGCTGCTGCTTGAATTAGAATTAAAATTAGGTTTTACGATTCATTGTAATTAAGTCCAATTTTCCCTTCAACAGTTATTTACTATAGCTGCTTTAAAGATCTTTTTTTTGAAAAGTAAAACTTGAGGTTGTAGCTGTGCAATGGCCCAGTGAGTGTCTGGGATGACTGATGAACCAGGCAGTTTCTATAGTGCCTGCTGGACAGATGGGCCAATAGGGCAGACCTGTGGAGGTTTCATCCCCCAGGTTCTCTCCCCCCTTTTCTTTTTATCTTGTCAAAAATTAACTGGAACACCTTTAGCATAAGAAATAACCAGGTTTGCCTTAAAGGTTGGATGGATCCAGAATTATTTTCCCTGGCAGGGCCTGGTGCAGCTCATACTGAGATGTCAGGGCTGCAAAGAGCTCATCTGTGAGCACAGGACAGGCTGGTAACTGCATATATGACTGGGCCCTGCATCACAGACTAATAAAAACCCAGTAAAACTTCAAATCTGACTCACACACGTGTAGTTATGGGGCATCCAGTGTGTGTTGTTGCTGTGGCAACGTCACCCACAGCACCTGGGTGACGTCGGATCCAGCTGCTGGGGTGACGTGCTCAGTGGAGAAGGGAGGAAGAGAAGAGGGGCTTCAACTCTGCTGCACCAAAACCTCATGAGAATAAATTGGCTTATATCATGAAATTATTCCCACTCACCTCATGAATAAAATATTAAAATTACACAAAAAGGAGCATGTGTATGAACAGCTCATGCTGGATGAACCCTGAACAACCGCGGGAGAAATGATGGGAGACTAAAGAACACATAGATATGCGTTCTGCCCCAAAATGTTCATGAAACAGTGACTGCCAATAACATGTCCATATGGGGAATACTCATAACAGATACGCAGAACCTGACAAGCTGTCACTTCAAAGAGTTTTCAAAAAGTATAATCTGTAAATACAAATAGACTAAGCTGCTGCTGAGTTTATGAATAACACAGACAGCACTGAGCATACGGAAGGAGGTGTTTCTTAGAGACTTGCAGGAGACCATGAGAGCAAGCAAAACTTTGACTTACCACTGACAATAATCAAAATATGAGACAATGATCAAAATGAGAATGCCCTAAACCAAAATCTGCTATGATTTCATTCTCTTATATTTTTCTGAAGTGGGCTTACTATGATGAATTTTCACAGCTGAAATAATCAGAAATTAACATTACTTTTGAGCTATTTTAATATTCTTAAAAATTTTAAGCATGAAGTATGTGTGCTTGACAAAAGATTTTCAAATTGATAAAAATCTAATAACAAGAAAGCTTTCTGAGAAATTGGAATGACATATCAATTGATTTGACTAGCTGCAAAATCATTCCTATCATTTACCACAGTATTTTTGCAGGTGTTATAGTAACTTATAAAAAAGTAAATAGAATGAAAGAGTGCATAAGGATGAAACAAAACTGAATTAAAAATGATCCTGACACAAAATATCTCCACAGCTGTTTTTATGGCCATCTCTCTTTATTTGAAAAAGAAAAATAGATTTTTACAGACCCTGTGGAAGAGACCCATACTTCAAACGAGGTCCTTGCAGGAGCAGATGGAAAAGTTGTTGCTTCAGGTATAAACATAGTCCCAGACCGAGCAGAAAGAGGGTAAGGCTGATTGCCACGCCAAACTAGAATATCATGGCACCACAGGAGAAACTTAAGAGGTTTAATTATCTAATGAAACAAGATCCAATTGGTTATTACAGACATGATCACCCCAGGGCAACAAGGGAATTAATGACCAGTAGGGTTTAATAGCTACTTATATTTTTGTTGAGTCATGAAAATGTCAGGAAATGCCTTAGACCGTGATTTTTTTCTTTAGTTTTTCAGAAAGTGTTTTAAAATAATAACTTAATGAAGTATCCAGACAATAAGAATTTCCTTATTCAGCCAAGGAGATTTACATTGGTCTCATCAGTAGGGAAAGAGAAGTTTCTCCACTGCTAATAAAGCAGTCAGTTGAACTGTCTTTCAGTAAAATCTGTTCATTTATTCTGTTAAAAAAAATATTTTTACTATTTATCAATTTGGACCTCCATATTTTCTACTATTGTCTTTTTGAAACTGTAAAGAGGCACAGCTATGTAAAGTTTGGCTCTTGCTTTAGGCGTTTTGCAGAATCCCAGAAGAGACGGAGTTGATCTTTGAAGATCATTTGGTCTAACTCTGCTGCACAAGGAGCATCACCTAGAGCAGGTTGCCCTGCCAAGGTGGCTTTTGAGTATCTCCAGGTAACGAGACTCCAAAACCTCTCTGGTCAATCTGCTCCAGCACTCAGTCATCCTCACAGTGGAGATATTTTTCCTCATGAGATGGAACTTGCTGTGTTTCAGTTTGTGCCTGTGTCTCTTATCCTGTCACTGGGCACCACTGAGAAGAGTCTGGCCATGGCCTCTTTACACCCCTCCATTGGGCATTCATACACATGGATAAGAGCTCCCCTGAGTCGTCTCCACCCCTTCAAGGAGTAAATGCTAAGGCAATTCATAGAGGTACCCAGTAGGTGTTTCTGGGCCTTCTGTCCTGGAGTTTTTTCCATAAAACAGGATCATTCCAGTTCTCTAATTTTTGAATCTCATTCTATTTAACTTCTTGAATTTTATTGTGAAATGCTGGAAAATACTGTGGCTTGTTAGTTTTTAGAGGAAACATTATTAAGTACCAGTTAAACACACTGAAACCAATTCAAGATTTAATTTTCACATTTCAAATGCCCCTTTTCAAGAATGAAGAATTGTCATTATTTTGGTAAAAGCATAATGCTGAAAGTACAGATATCCAAAGCTTTCACAAAGCAGTGTAAAATGTATCAGACCCACTTGAACAGAAAAGCAATTGCATAGTGTGCTGAGTAATCTTTAATTCACATTGGGTCAGGAAATGTGGAAAAGGTGAGGCTGCTCAGAAGGAAGCAGAAACATCTAAAGCACCTGCGATATGAAATGATTCACTGCAGCTTCTTGGGCAAGCAACAGTAGCAGCAACTTAGTCTGTCACATCCTGTTAAATGGGGAATGAATCAAGTTCTGTTCCTTTATGCTTATGCAAAACAATATTTAAACATAAAAATATTGCTCTGTGACAGATTTCAAGAAAGGAGACTGAAGGGTTTGGGGTTTTTTTTTGTACACAAGTGCAAGAACATATGATTTAATCCAAGTCTTATTGATTCACAGGGTACTGCAGTGTATAAAAACACTACAAGGTATGAGTGTCCTGCTATTTTCTTTGCAGCTGATACAGAAGCTGACAGATGACTCTGTCTCAGTTCTGGACAGGATAGTGCCACATGTATATATGCAGACACAGCAAGAGGGAGGACAAACACTCTTCAATATAACAGGAGCTTCTAAACATATAGAGAACTGTTAACCTTTAAGGTTAGAAGAAATTGTTCTGATAACCATGAGAAAGACTCTGTTAACTAGAGCGCTCGGCGTATTTGTTGGTTCGTTTTTCAAAGGAAAGCCAGAACTGAGAGAAGACTAACTTTTACCTGGCTGAAAAATATACAAAAAAAAAAAAAAATCAAAATTATCACCAGCAGAAAATACTGTTAAAGTACTTAACAGTACTCATAAGATGAATCAGTGTTTCATAGAACAAATATCCAAAGGCAGGCCAAGGCGTAAATAAAGCACTGCAAGTTACCTACCAAGTGATAAAGTCTGGTCTTCTGCAGATTTCTGTATTCTGTTTCTGAAGCTTTTCTATGAGACATACCTGAATTCTCCCTGTATCAAGTATGATGGCCTCCACCCTGGAGAAGACATAGAAGTGCTCTGCTAAAACTGAAGCTAGATGCACAGGTTGCCAAATAAGAAGTACAAAAATTCTGCCTTTCTTTCCTCCGGAGTGGCATTAATTTGTCTCTCCTATCCCAATTATAAGAAGGTAATTAACTTTATCTCCACTAAAGAGGAACTTAGAGATGTATGCATGGACAGACAGAGACAGGCCCAAGGATAGACAGGGTGACTGCAAAAGATTTTTTTCTTAATTAAGTTGGTATTATTTAATTTAACCATTTAATAAAAGGATTAGCAAGAGAGACATTCTGCAGACCTGCCAGGATGCAGTTAAGAAATAGCCATTTTTTTGAATCTGTCATCTGTAAAAGCTCAAGATATCCATTAACATGATGTGAGTCCCAGAACTTAGAGAGACCACTAGAAATGTGAGAGTCTACGCTTGCCAATGTGGAGCCTGCAGGGAAGAGCCTGTAAAAGATTTATCTTCATAAATGTTGTAGTAAACTCAAATTACTGCTTTCTAGACACACAGTACAGAGAACACCATGAGAGTGATTTTGAGGACTCATTCTGTAGACGTGAAGCAAAACAGGATAATGAAAGCATAGTTTAATTAGAGGGGGCATATGTATAGAACACAGTTAGACCTGCTTGACACAAGACAGGGTCAGAATAAAAATATTATTTTTTGACATGCTCCTCAGAAAACAAGGCAATGGAAAAATGCTTCCTCACAATGCCCAGTTCTCCCCGACAAGGTTTCTTGTCAGGGGGATATTTCATGATAAAAATTGAAATAACAAGTATCATAAAGGCTATATATATCATATTATATAGTTACTGATTGATATATTCAGTCTTTAGCACTGATATCACTGTGTCATAAAATCCCAAGGAGTCACTGTGGGATTGCACAGTGGGGATAGCATTTGAAGGCGATCTTTCTGGGAGCCTTCAGAAATTGTATCACATAGCTAGGAAGGTGATGACAGTACTTGCTAGGTTTTTCAATTTGACATGTTCTGTTTTTAGACATCTTCATACAATCTATATAAAAATATTATGATAGTAGTGTAAGGAACCTTGACCCCCTGTACTATTTTGAAGCGTGGTCAAGCTGGTTTACACACTCCATTTGAACGAAAAA